CCCCCACGTTTCGTGGCTAGGAATCAAACATCTCGGCACCATGCGAGACGAAGCAATTCCAACAGGGCGAGCTAAAGCGCCTGGTGAATAATCTATGGGTGTCGCTCGCCCGTAGGGGGTGACTTCAAGCCGCCTCGCAATAGTATGACACATGTAATTGTACGCATTGCCAATATTTGCAGAACTGGGAGATCAGTATCCTATGTACTTGCTTGCTTATTCATCTGTGCGGCGTTGTCTGTGTGTTCTAAACCGCCAGAACAATAGGATCATGATGATAGGTAATGGCGCTCTGGGGTCCTCTGTATACTAGTAAACCCTGTACGGAGTACATACGAAGATCCCGTACCATGGCGCATAGCTCTGGCCATAATAGCTGCAATCTTTGACATGGACCTGGACCTGGAGTGGAAACTGGGTGATCCGTCCAAGAGGTTAAACGCAAGATCCATGGCCGCGGATCGCACTGTTGCCTCGTGTGCTATAGAGTACGGAGTACTAGTAGTGGTGAAATTAGAGCTAGGGCTCTCTGTTGATTACTATTGCCGTCGCTCCCCGCGATTAAGAACGAATGCTGCAGACAAGGCACTGGCAAAGCGTAACGTCTCGCACGGCCAAGGTCGTCTAATAAGATCATCTATGTATCTCGGCACGGTTGAGATTAGATGAAGCTCAGCCTCGTACGGCAAGCAAGAGGAGAGGAGACACTGACTGTGCTTCAAAACGGCCACTGCCCAATAAGATTATCGAGACGGGGAGGGATGTCACTCTCACGACCAGGTCGCCTCAAGACAGGCTGTGCTTGGTCGAACCATGGACGGCACAGACCAGGCGGGTGTTTGATTGATGACGGATGTTAGGGATTCGAGATGGGGAGAAGGAACAGTAGATCTGGCGCCATTTACAGTTTGGGACTAGTGCAGAGTCCCGTGATTTAGCGCTGGCTGCGCTGCTCCGTGCCCACTTGCCACCTTGCGGCGGGAGCATTGGGAAGGTGCGACACAGCCGTAGACTAGCGACTAGACCGCTCTTCCAATCTCACCTCGTCTTCCGTGCGCTCCGTCCTGTCAATTCCAAGTTCCCATCTCCATCCAATCTGCCTTTGCCTTGAAGCACACCCGACGCTGCTCTGCACCTTGACGCTTTGTCAAGCGAGGACACGCTCTAGTACACGCCTGAATCATACCAGACTGTTCATAGGATACTTATGCTGTCCAATATTGTGCCGGGGATTGTACGTCTTAGTATCACATGGTGCACCCAAACCCACGCACACGCAGCACTAAGTCGTTGCAGCCAGTAATTGATAACGGACAACCATCAACCACGCAAGCCAAGTTGGTGCGAGCTGTGCTGTCTGGTACTTGGTACGACAAATTTACCACTCCCACAGCTGCTACGGAGTACATGCGGCTGGAAGCGAAGGGACACGAGCGCAAATCCCTACGCTGCTCACTGCAGTGTGCGAGATGGCATGGTTTGGCACTTGACCAGGCCAGGCTCATCAAACGAGGTTTCTTACAAACCGTTACTCTCACTGTTCCGCCATGAAACATGTCTCCTACCTGGACAGATAGGCTCCAGCTTGTTGTGTCTCCGGGGTCGATCGTCACCAGTCCCCTAAAATTGAGCATATTTCGGCACTTTCACCCCGGTACTCCGTACACTGGGTTACAATACGTGTCCTCCGTACAGAGAAATAAGAAGCGACACGCTCCAGGGCACAGACACACTGGCCTTGGCACACCAACCAGGGCCAAAGCTAGTAGTAGTAGTACTCGTGTTAGGAAGGGAAGATGGAACTACTGCTACAACGGCCGCGAGCTTCTAGCATACGGTTTCCATTCCACAGCTTGTGGACACAGTCTCCATGATGGAGCATCAAAAAAGTCAACTCCAAAACCTCGCCAGCATCGCCATGCCCTTGGATGTGACAGGCGACAGGGTACTGACTGCGAGGTGGCATCCATACCTGTATCACTCACGCAGAGTGGCCCACTATCAGCAAACGGTTCGACATCAGGACAAGCAGGCAGGACAACAAAAAATATGCAATTTTCTTGACGGGTGACTTGGGTGGCACAGAATCGTGGGTGGGGCCCTCGAGGCAACGTATTGGACGCCTCCGTCACAGAAGACAATGCACTCCGACCTTTGCAGCCCCATGCCTCAGAGGATGATCAACGCAACCGCCTCACTGTCCGGCGGCGACGGGGCCAAGGCCTCCACCATTATGAATTCTGCCTATTCAATCGCATCCTACTGGCTGGTGGCGGCGACCCGGGCGAGGCTGCTTGCAGCCATGGGGCCACTAGCGAAGAGGAGGGTGATGTTGAGCTCCCGGGATCCGGCTCTAGTCTCCCAATCAAACCACGTATCCTCATGCAAGTCTCTGTTTTGAGCGCCTGTCCGTGCATCACACATACCGGGGCCTTGCCGCTGGAGAGTGCAGGTGATATGCCCAAATTTGATGGTATCGACGGGAAGCGCGGCCAGGCCAGGCCTCAATGAAGCAAGGAAAACACTCCGTAATGATATGGTTGGAAGCCACAAAGCCCCCGAGCTGCTGGCATCGGACACTGGAAGACGGCGATGGGCAACATCTGATGATCGGTATTGACGCTTACTCGGGCCTTACAAGCCACGGTCGATCATATCGGAAAGCGTTGAGCGCAGTCTGCCCTATGAGAATATCTTGGGAAATTCGATTCACACTGCAAGCTCCAACAACCTGTGCATATTGTCCGAAACAACAGGCCAGGTCTCTTCTGGACTCTGTCCGATTAGCGTCTCAATATACAACGGAGCACTATGCAAGTACGTCGAGTCTGTAGGCAACTCGAGATCCTTCAACGCATCCAATTCGCCATAGCCAGGGTTTACACTGTCCCTATTGGTGGCGTTGTACATACATAGTATGTACATAGTTCTTACGATTCTTGCATTATGGGCCCAGCCACTTAGACGCGTCAAACGTGGCGATCTCTCCAGTACCGTCTCTTGCATAACTGCCCAGGCTTGAGTTGATTGGACAGTGGTCACATTGTGCAGACAGAAGGCATGCATACTCCGTACGGAGTAAGCTATCTAGGTATCCATGGGCCATGGGTGATGCGGAGTCCGGTTGGTTGAAACCAGGCAGCTGTCACGGCAAACGAAGATGAGGCATGTTTGTGTATACCGGAGTTGAGAGGAATTTGTACGATGACCTACTCCGTGTAGCGTTTTCCCCCATTACGACACCGCAGAGTACGTGTTGAGGACACGGCTTACAGAGCAAAGCGAGGTGTTTTCACTGTTATCGGTGTGAGAGAACCTTTGACGACAATAAAGTACTACCAAAATACATACAACAAAGCCGTGATCCCCTGCATTCCGGCGAATCCTTACAGCAGGCTCAGTGCACACTTCTGGAAAGACAGTTCCTCTGGATAGCACTCACTCCACAGCACTTGTTGAGTGAGAATTTTTATTGTCATCATCTGGCCAAACTGGCGCAGCTTGATCCGGCAAGGTTTGCGCTTCATGCCAGACATTATGGATGCGGACCCAGTGGTTGGTTCACCCAGGCAAATATTTGTTTGTTGTAGTATCAACCTGTGCAAGAGGATCCTACGGTGTCTCATCGAAGGGTCTACGCGCGTTACTGGACTTCGGGTTTCGCCTTCTATGATGATGGTATGCGGTTAGAGTGAAGGAACTAATTTGCCAGGCAGCGCTGGCAGCCTAGCTTTTCGACGGGGCACGACTCCAACTCACGAGCACCGAATGAGGCCCTCAGGCTTCTTGGGAGGTGTCATCAGCCAATATGGAAGAGCAGGCACCGCCTGTGGGCGTAGGAAACAACGTGAGCACAAGGGGGAACATGGAAGGGTTCATCCAGGCCGCTCCCAGCCCAGAGTCTCAGCGGCTCAGTGTCCTTCCATTACGTTTCGCCCGATTGTGATGGATCATGGCGAGGAGTGATGCAGCAGGGGTGCTGGAATTGCCTCCCGCCAGGACTGGTTGGAGTCTGGCAATCTGGCAATCTGGCACTCTGGACACCTTGCAATGCGCCTCTGCACATTCTTTGGCCTTTGACTGCCTGGTGGCGTGGGTCCATGTCTGGCATTGCTAGTCCAGAAGGCAAAATGGGCTGGGCGGCGACCCATGACACAAGCGACCCACTTTATTTTGGTGTGTCAGACTATCCTCGCCTCTCGTATATTGCTCAGCGTCACCACACGATACAGGATCCCTGCCGTCGCTAGCCTCGGACCCTCACCCCCCTTCCCTTTGGACGTGGCCGAACCTTATGGCGCAGTTAAGAATAGCTGCTGCAGTAGCGCTCTGCTGATGGTCTCCCCACCCCTGCCGGCTAAGACAAGATAGCGGACGGAGCATCCATGCCATTAATCTTCCCACCCAGGTCAGGTCTGGGTTTTCTGTGATGAGGCTTGTGGGCCCACCGTGGCCTGGCGTGCATCTTGTGGATGCTCCACGCAATCGGTACGTACCTGCTGTCCGCCCCAGGGTTGGTGAAAGAAGAGCACTTGAGAGCATGAAGCTTGGAGTGGTACTCCGTAATGGAGGGTCCAGCGTGGTCCAGTGTGGACCAGCCTTCATCGTTATCTACCTGTTGATGCCCGCCTTGGTCTTGCTGCATACAGCACTTACAAGCTTCAGCAACCTACTTCGCGACTCTCCTTCAACCTCCTTCATACCAGCCATCTTGCCACCGGATTGTTTGTTCCAAGGGCCACCTGCAACGCCCATGCTTTCCTTGAATCAAGGAGACCTCATATACTCATACATCTTGACCCGTTGATTCGGTTGTCAAGTCGACTTACTCCGGAACATCCTCTCCAACTATTCCGTATATATATATATATATCCTGGCCTGGGTATAGGATTTTTTCTTTGCTCTCTCTGTTCTCCAGTGGATCCGTTGAACTGGCCCGAGACTTTGTTCTTCTTTGCCGTTCCTCACCGGAGAACATTGATATACTCAAGTCCATAACATGCAGCACCATGCGCCATTCGGATATCCCACGCCTCCAGCATCCCCCGCCTACGATAATCTCAAGTGCGGCAACAACCAGCAGATCTTTTCGCAGACGGCTTTCCAGTCAAGATGCGTCCCGCTTGCTCCAGAGCAGAGATTAGGTAGATTTCTCGAGGGGAAGCTGCAACTGACCGAGGTTCTTGGAACTGGAGCCTATGGCGTGGTGTACTCTGCCATTGATATCAAGACTGGTGTCCGTTACGCTGTCAAGTGTCTGAGCAAGTACAATGCCGATGGAACCCCTTTGGAACGCCGACAGGTTGCCTATCAACAACGGGAAATCCGACTGCATTACCTAGCTTCGGCACATCCAAATATTGTGTCGATGCTCAAGATTGTGGACGACCCTGACTGCATCTATGTCATTCTGGAGTACTGCCCCGAGGGTGACTTGTTCCTCAACATCACCGAGCTCGGCCAGTATGTAGGCAAGGACCTGCTATCCAAGAAGATCTTCCTCCAAATACTGGATGCCGTGGAGCACTGTCACAAGTTGGGTATCTTCCACAGAGATCTGAAGCCCGAGAACATTCTGGTAACGGACAATGGAAACACGGTCAAACTGGCCGATTTTGGCCTTGCCACCGCGGATGATCGCTCCGAGGACTACGGATGCGGTTCAACCTTTTACATGAGCCCTGGTATGTTCTGCTTAGCCTTGACCTACGACAATCGACTGTGCCGACCTTTCTGACCATGTCCTAGAATGCCTCAATCCATCAAGCCGAAAGCCTTACTACATGTGCGCCCCCAATGACGTCTGGTCATTAGGAGTCATCTTGGTAAACTTGACTTGTGGACGCAACCCATGGAAACAGGCTTCCTGCCAGGATTCTACATATCGAGCCTACACTCGATCTCAGGACTTCCTCAAGACTATACTTCCCCTGACTGATGATCTGAATGACATTCTGGGTAGAATTTTCCATCCTAACCCGGAGCTGAGAATCACCTTGTCTGAGTTGCGATGCCGCGTCATGGCTTGCTCCCAGTTCACCGTGCCGGCTGCCCAAACCATGTCTGTTCAGCAGCAGTCAGTCTCACCACACATTCCAGAATACGTTACCGATGAGGACGCCATAGTCGATGACTATGAATACGACTCTCCTCTGTCGCCCGCCAGCACCACATCCGATGAGGGATCGCTCACTTCTAGCGGATCTACCATTGATGACCTGGACGACGACGACTTTGCGCAAGAGCAGCACGACATTCCCGTTGCCTTTGCACCAGCAACCTATGATGCAGAGGACGCGGGAGACCTAGGGATGTACCAGGACCAATGCATTCCACCAACGTTTCACGACGCGGCAGTGCCTATTCCGATGCAGGTCCCCCCTCAACCTGTGGTCTGTCAGCAGGCACCAGTTCCCATCCAGGTCCCGGTGCCTGTGCAAGCCCCTTGCCAGCCAAAATCATTCTTCCCGCTATGGGAGGTAGTCAGATACGTTCAACAGGTTCCCATGATGCAACACCCGGTTGCGTTCCAGCAGGTCCCTTTCATCCCGTCGTTCCAGGGTTGCTATTGAGCAAATACCACGTTCACACCATACCCGATCTGGCTTTTACAAGTTTTATACTTAATCCACAATACGGTCACGGAAGGCTTAAAATCGAAAAAAGTTTTTAATGACTTGTGTCTTTGTTTCTCCAAAAAAACAGGATTATCGGACCACCGAAAATTATTGGCGCCATACCTTTCTCCTCGGTTGTATCTATTTACTATTCCACCTCGCTACTCTTCGGCCTATTATATATGGATCTTTATTTTTTTTACTTTGAACCAGCGTGGAGTTGAAACTTATTTCCAACGGGCGGCGAGGGACCCGAAATTTGGAAATATCTCATGACACCTGGAGGTGTCTGTCTCAAAACAATATTGTCCGGGTGGCTTTTTTCTTCTTTCTACACCCATTTTTTTTGTTCAGTTGCAGCATGCCGGCAAAGACGAGCGATTTCCCACTTTTGCACGAGGAAGGACACGGCCGCGAGATTTACGACGAAAGATATTTTAATCACTGCCGATCGACAGCAAAGAGTTGATGGCACTGTGACATTCACTTGGGAGACGGATTCAGAAACCGCTTGTCTTAGTATCTTTTTTATTTTTATCTTATTTTACATTTTATTCTGGGCACGCTACTGGGTACGATTAGGGTTGGCATAGGAGCGAAAAAAAGGGACCTGCTTGGGAGTTTTACATGGGGAGTTTTTTTTGATCGGGAAACAATATAGAGAGAAGGATGGGCTCCGAAGCCCGCCGTGCGCCTCGGAATGAAGGCGGTAGCATAGCCGTTGCAAGGGTAGCCGATAGGGCTTTTCCCTTGAAAGACACTAGCGCGTCCAGGAGACGAAGAAATAACACGAAAGCACATGTTATGCTATGACACGATGGCCGTCTTGTGACTGCTGTGATTCTGTGAAGATGCTGGCCCAGTAGTACTCGGTAGCACGGCTGGACTGGTATTCTCTGGCTCGAAGAGCCCCACGGGCAGACGGGCCCGCGACAGTGTCTGGTGCCACAGAGATTCCAAGTGGATACATGTATGGAAGCTTCCTCCGTGGAAGGCGGTCGGAAGAGTCGGAGGAGCCTCCCGTGGGCCCGGCTCCTCTGCCTGGAGTGTGACGGCTCGACGGGGTGCTGCGTCGGTCGACCATGACGCCGTCTTGTCGTTTCGAACGGGGGGCCTTGTGAGCAGCCTTGTCCTCTGCGTCTACGTATGTGCTCCGTACATGAGCGAAGTGGACCTCTTTGCGATATCCATCCACGTTACGGAGTACGGAGTATATGTCTTGTAAGTTGCCATCTTCACCTGGGCCTCATTTCGGTTCCCCCATACGACGCCACTAGTTGTATACATACGCCGTACGCCGTACGCCGTACGCCGTCGCATTGTTTGTCTGCTCTTGCCACTCGCGCCAGGGCTGCATCTCGGCAATCTGGTCTGGCCCCTTTCAGAGTGCGGCATGGCACGGCAGCGTGGGAACGCTTTCCTCTGGAGGCTGTGGATCACCCTCCGGGTCCGGGTGGAAAATAAATCAGCCAAGGCTCTTTTCGTGACGGAAGCAGAGGACCCCATCGTCCATCTACACATGTACATGGGCTAGCGGCTCGGCATATTTTTTTTTTATTACATTAGTTAGCCGGAATGAAACAGGGCGACGACGGGTTGCACTACACGGCAGGACTGGAGGGGCCAGACATCCATGTTGATGGCGGTGCGACTGCGACTGCGACGCTGGCTGGCTGGCTGCCAAGGGCTATGCCGAGATTGGCCTTGCTTCTGGATTCGATCGTGTTGGATGGCAAGGCCGGTGGTGGGCAGAGGGAAAGGGGGTTCCACAGGCCGAGTCTTTTTTTTCTTTTTCGTCTCGTTTCTTGGCCTTTGCCTTTGCCTGCGGATGAAGGATGGGGGAGGTGGCGGACGGGATTGGCGGGACAGGGCTGCCATGCTGTCGCTAGAGAAGATTGGAGGGATATCTGGACGGTGGTGATGCCGCGCCAGCCTGGGACGGCATGAGGCATGTCTTGGGCCGAGGTGGCGGAAACGTGAGCAGGCACGCTTTTAATGATGCGTCTGGCGATATCCGGGGGCTGCTGGGCGAGGCGGCGGCGATGGCTGCTCGACTCGAGATGCGGTTGATGGTTCAGCCTTGGGTGCTTCGAATTGGCTCTTTGTTTTGGCCCTGGGCCAAGACGCGTGGTATTGATGTACCAGACATCTCGTCACGTCGATGACTTTGGGACTGTACATGTAACTGATGGCCACGGCTCACGGCCACCCATGACCACGGGAGGCACTCGCTGCCATGCTGCCATGCTGCCATTCTCCTCTGCGACAGACGCCAACTACTCCGTACATACTCTGTATACTACAGATGTGTCGCTATATGTAGATAGTCTGCTTTGGTGCTTGACCGCCCATGAACATGCTTCCCCCCGACACCAATATCAAAAGGCTGGATAGCTTCGCCAGCGGCACGCACCATCACGTAGCGTCTGGTCTGGTACTGCTGCCCTCTCTCGCCCGCGTCCAAGATGCTACTCCGTACCGGCTCCCTGCTTGACGTGCAACTTGCTCGCTTGCTTGCTTGCTTGCTAATGGTGCGGCGGCATCCCCCTTGCCTTGCCCTGCCTCGCCTGCCGTTGCGCCGAGCACCACCGCCATCCCTTCCCATCTCACCAGCAATCTGCAATACGGGCGGTTCAATTACGCACGAGGGTGTTGTGCGTGCGTGTGTTTGCATGTGCCCATCAGCCCAGAGAAGCAGGCCACTGTTCCCATTCTCCCTGCCGCGCCAACCAGCAAGGCGTCCCGTCACTTACACGCATGTGCTGCCGCCCCCAGTCTTTGCCTGGGGAAAAAGGGGGGGGCCGTTTCGACGAGGCAATTAGGGATCCTCCCTGTCCTGTCCTGGACGGGTCATCTTATCAGGAACATGGCATCACGGATGCCGTCCAACAGCTGGAGTTGGATGCGGCCTTGCATTCTTCCCTGCACAGACCGGTACGAGATTGGCGTGCCGGTCCCGTCTTGAGTGGACGTGAGGGGATTTTTTTATTTCTTGTTTTTTTCTTCTCACCGCAGTGCGGCCCGTCTGTAGTGCGGTACTATTCCTATATAGCGGGATTGAGCGCGTCCGTGAGAAACGGCGCCCACTCGCCTGTGCCCTGTTTGAAGACGCAGAGGTTTGTTAGACGGCCAAGCGTGCGAGATGGCGTTTTCGGTCTCGTTTCTGATTCATCGCGTCGAGGGGCGGAAGGCTGTTGTGCGTCGTTGACTCTCGGGGGTGGCGCTGCCCCGGCCTGCATTGTGCGCCTACATATCTACGGATGTGTCTGGTGTTTTTGGCCCTCTAGCCCCCTTGCCCGGAGAGTACATACAGTATGCATGTTTGCTACGGGGCGCACGTTTTGCGGGCGTTTTCTCGTCATTTTTTTTTTGCTTTTCTTTTTGTTTTGGGTTTCCCAAGGCAGATAGATGGAAGGGATCATTGATGGAGCGCAGCGCCAAAAGCTAGGGTCCCTATGGAATTGACTGCTTACTCCGTACGGAGTACAGGGCCAGAATATTCGCTCTTGCGTCTTGTTCAACGGCACATGAATCCATCATGGTCGTGTTCCCTTCTCTGGGGCACTGTGCCATGCTCTCCGGGCGTTTTGGCCCATGCCGCTCACCGCCGGATGGGAGCGGGCGTCAGCTTGCATCCGTGGTATTTCCTTGCATGGAACCACCAGACATTGCTGACAACCAACTACCTAGGCACGTATGTACATACCTAGGCAGTGACTGGTACGGGTGACATGACGGCATGCGATTGTCTTCATTTTGCCCGTCTGCGCGTGACTCGGGACCGAATCGGAGGAGCCAACCAACGACATGCCCACGTACTCCGTGCATGTCCATCGTATGTTGCTGCCGGACAGACAAAAAGGACGCGCTCACATGACAGTGAGCTGTGTTCTCATCAAGGCACCGCAGGCAGGCCGGGTCCATGGGCCACATGGATCGGCGGCTGAGGCTGCATCGCTCGCCCAGACACGGCGCAAACGCCATCATGTCGTGCCGCCACGTAGCTGGCCGTGGCGCCGCCCCCTGCCACGCTGCCAGCATTGAAACAACATTGGACGGTGCCGTACGGAGCAGTACTACTGGGGGTCAACCATCACAGGGACGACGTGACACGGCGCCCCGGAGGCCGTGAGCGCAATGGCACCCGACTGGCGTCGTGATGCTGTCCGTCCCCATCCCAGCTGACCACCCAGTCGCGTACATACATGTCAATACATACAAGCTGGCTCGAACAACGCATCAAACAAGGGTACTAGGCCCGTGGTACTCGGCAGCCAGCGTCCTGCGGCTGGGGAAGCATTCGGCCATGCTTGACCACCACGTCTCGCCCGTCTATACGAACAGCACCGCGCCGTCGACAAACGTCAACTGGTCCATGGTATCGATACCATGGACGTCGAGACCCGCTGGAATGGACCCTAGCTGCATCGGCTGACGCTGGAACAACACAAACTGCCGGGCTCCGGCCGTCATGGAAAGGAAGGGACGTCAAGGTCCAGGTCCAGACAGATGCCGACGCGCCCCATCGCTCCACGCACGTACTACTACTACTATCTGGATGGCATCGTCCATCGGCCGTTGTCACCCCCGGCGGGTCACGGAGGCGGCTGCCGTGCCCACGGGGACGAGCTGGCATTCCGCGGCGCAGCAGAGTTTCAATGCTGTCTTGTCCTCTGGAGAGCCCTCCAAGGGGGAACAAGGGCAGCCATTATTCCCACCGGTCGCCCGCCGCCACCGCCGCCCCAAGGCCTCGAATCTGGCCTCGCTGCTGCGACGCTGACACGGGAAAGCTACGAAGTCGCAGTGGGTGGCCAGGCGAGTCGTTGGCACTGGATCTGAATGGAACAAGCCGCCTCGCCGTCTTGGACGGAACGTCGAGAAGCCGCCCTGCCCAAACTGCTAGTCCATAGTGCCGAGATGGGAGATCGAATACTCTCGAGGCGGTTGGCGTGGGA